CCAACAAATACATTTACTATGTACATTCGATCTCAGACGATGTTGATAGAATTAAATAATTTTGATCAATGTTTTCAAAATTGATGTAAGTACATTACAATATACACAGGTCTGAAGAGATTAACCACTCACGGAGGTCAATTGAAGCGCTAAAATCGTGAATAAGAAAGTTACAGCTTTTTAAATTTATGAAATTATGAAGATGACTCTTTCATGTATGTTTCTATCAGTATAGATTAACTTTAATCTTAATTTACTTTTATTTTTTTTTATGTCTAAGGATTAGAAAAGGGATAAAGAGTATTTTAAACCTAGATTAAAGTTAATCTATATTAGTGGAAGTAGACACCATTTCTTTATATGGCAGTTTAATCGACGTGGAACTCTTTTTAAGATAGATTAGAAATTCTAAAATTTGTCGGGAAGAGGGTAACTTGAATTTTGCTAATTTTTTTTAATTTTGAAAAAGTGAAGTCAACTTCACAGAGGTCCTCGCGGAACATTAAAAGATCTCGTTGGGAAGCTTTGTTTTTACTCTGCGGCCGCGTAAATATGTACATACATACGCGCTCGTACACGTACGCATATGCATAGGCTCATACATAGTGAAATCATCCACGTGCAATTAGAGTTCCTTTCCTCAGAGGGGAGTGAATTAATTGGCGCCGTCCGATTTTTTGCGACGCTGTTGAATTATTTCTGTGTTTCGTGTTACATTACGCGCGACATGTTAATTATCGTAATTATGGATCGCGCACGCGAAACGCGCGTGCATAATGCAGGTGTCTTGTCGTTCGCGCAATATCCCAAAACAAATTACCGCCGCGCTTATTACTCATAAACGACGATTAATCGTCACAGCTAAAACAGTGAGCTATCTGCTTTTAATTATTTACATCCCGGCATAAATAGGCTTTGCCATGGATATGTAAGTTGATGTAGTTGATTATTAATGAAGTTCTTTTCATTGATGAAATCGATTTACATTAATTTTTGCTAACCAAGAATGTAACGTTTATTTCTATTAATTATATATTATTTATTATAACTATTTTTTGTCTTGTTTCTATTTTTTATTATGTATCTTTTAACTCTCCTCTTAATGATTACAATTTTATTTGATAAAAATTTTATCAATTATTTAATTATTTCTCTTAATCATTCAAAGTGCATTATTTTTCTATATTATTTTGTAATAACTTTTGGCCACAAAATCCACCGTAAAGATTTTTCTTCGATTGAAATTATTTTAATTTGTTGTATTCTTTTACATGTTGTAATATCTCTTCGATTATAATTTCATTTGAAAACTTAGTTTAATTGTTATTTAATTACGTCTTGCTTATGATTCTTAATTACCGTTCAAATCTATTATTTTTCTTTCTTTTCGCAATTAATTTTCGACCGCAAAATCCAAATGTCTCGTTAAATATCGTAAGGATGTTTCTTCATCTTGACTTGAAATCATTTTATTGTATTTTTATTTGTTTACATGTAATATCTTTTCAATAATTACAATTTTCAAATTACAAATGGGTCTTTAGGAATCGACATTGTAATAATTTATTTCGATTGATCTAAAACAATCCTCTATAAATAATATATTTGTCGAACATTTTGGCTAACTTCTAGCCTTCATCAGCGAATGTATTACATAAAATCAATAACGATTTTCATCCTGTGGTTATACTCCGATATCAAATTTCCTAGTTAATAAGCTGGATGGTCAACGATATTTGACCTTAAATATAATAAATTAATATTAGAATCGAAAAATATTAAAAAACTTACAGGAATTGTTATGGAGATTGTTACCTTGATTGTTACCTCAGGAGTACGTCAAACACAAATTAGTCCTAACACCATAGTTGTAACGTAAATTCTTTTTTTCGTGAACTAAAATTTAAAACGAAACGACGATAACTAAATATAATATATATTATTTAAGTCGATGATGTTCATGCTGCGGTGTCAATAATCGTCGTAATGAAAATGTATTTTTTAACTATAGGCTTTTAGTAGTTGGTCAAATAACAAAAATATGAAGAATTACGTAACTCAGTGTCTTTGTCCAACATAAAACGCATTACAATTATTATAAGAAATTTTATACATAATGTTTTTTTTTGCAAACTGTAGGGAGAAGATCTTTTTGCGTTTTTATCATTGAATTGAGTTTATTAAAAGCTAAAAAACGAGAGTTTAGTGTCAGTATCTTTGATGATATTTTAAAATTTTTCAAAAATGGATTTACATATGGAATTGTGAATTTCAACTGGTTTTTTCTGTAATGTCCTTATTTGAGGAATCATTTTTCATAGTGGTTCGATTGAATTTTCTTTATTTATTAAAACTTTAATTCTTTCTTGTATTATATCAACAATGAAATTTAGTGGATAATCGTTATCTAATAAAATTTGTATCACCTGTTCCAGATTCTTTTGAAGGGATCCTTGGGGAGAAATTAGAGAAACTATCAGCCGTTCCTATAACAGTATCTTTTTTTTTATATACACTGGTAATTAAAGTATTTCTCTGAGAAAAAAAATGGTTCGTGATATTATGTCAAACTTGATGACATTGTTTTTAGTAATAATAGCAGTATCTAAGAAATTGCCAATCTCACATGTATTGTACTCTGAAATGGTAAGAACATTACATTTTTGTAGTATAAGGTTGGCTTCAGATGAAGGAATACCCATAATTGTGTAATCATCAACATATCTATAATAGAAATGGATATCAAAATTGAAGACTCTTAATTTTGATATCCTTTTCTATTATAGATATGTTGATGATTACACAATTATGGGTATTCCTTCATCTGAAGCCAACCTTATTCTTCAACACTTGTTCCTCTAAGTCCTGTATTACAATATCGGCTAATATTGTAGATAATGAGGATTCCATAGTTATACCGAATTTCTGTTTGTAAATCTGGTTATCAAATAAGAATTAAAAAATGTCGAATTAAAAACAAAATCTATTGCTTGGAGAAGCTAAATATATGGGAATGTTCGGAGAAACAACATCTAACGATATTAAAATAATGTCTTCATTTAGCTTTTTATTGTTAAGTTTGTTCACAATGCCAAAGAGAGAGCTATTTTTAATGTTGCTTAGAGAAGTAGCGATACTTTTTTCAATTATTTTATGTAGAAACGTAGAGAAAGTAAATAATGTACTATCAGTAGATGAAACAATAACTCTTAATGGGTGTTTTATGTTACTTTTGGATAATTTTATGTTACCCCGTACACTCTATAGGCATAAGCCGTCGCTAGTATTAAATGAACAATGTGTAGAATCTAAAAAGTAATATTAAACTTCGAATCTTTCCATCTCGTAAGAATATTCTTCAAGCCATTGGTAATTTTAATTGGAGATTTTCTAACTACAGAGTATATTGAATCGTCTTGGAGTATTTCCTTTATCTTACAATTAGTCATGTATTTATCTTTATCCAGGGGGCAACCGTAATATTTCCCTTATCGGCTTTTGTGAGAATGATACATAGCAACTCCTGTAAGTTTTTCAACATTTTTCGACTCTAATATTTATTTATTATATCTAAGATCAAATAACGTTGATTATTCAGCTTGGTTGTAGGAAATTTCATGTCGGAGTGTAACCACACAGGATGAAGATTTTTATAGATTTTAAGTAATACGTTCGCTGATGGAGGCTAGAAGTTAGCCGAAACGTTCGACAAATATATTATTTATAAAGGATTGTTTTAGATCAATCGAAATAAACGCGCGCGAATTATTACAGCGCCGATTCCTAAAGGCCCATCTGTAATTTCTCAATTGTTTTAATACATGGAATCTTATTTTATTGTAAGAATAACAATTTTTTGTTCGATGAATTTAATTTAATTATTATCTAATCACAGAGAGAGGCCTCTTATGATTCTTATCTGCCATTAAAATTATTCGCTCGTTATTTTTTATCTATCATTTTGCAATAACTTTCGACTCGGAAAATCCGAGTGTCTCGTTGAATATCGTAAGGGTTCTTCCTCATCCCGACGCGGCGAGAACGGCGCGCGCGACAGCTTCTGTTTCCTTCTCCCGCTCTCTGAACCCGCCGTTTCACCGACTTATATACATTACACCGCATCGAGCACGAGCCACTACCACCAGCGGCCCGCTGGACTGTCACGATAGTCCACTACCATTATATCGGACGGCATTGCGCCTGGCGGTTTCCGCGTGGCGCGGTGCGGCGCGTTCGGACGAGGTAGAGGAATAGTGGCGTAGGAATAGAGATGGCGGAGGTGGTGGAGGAGCAAGAGGAACAGGAGCAGGAGGAGGAGGAGGAGGAGGACGTGGAGTAGGTTGCGCGCGCGGCCATTTTGATAACCTCCCACTCCTCTGTCTCGCTCCCTTCTCTCTGTATGTATCTCTCGATCCGATATAACTCTCGCTCCTTCCTTCTCGCGGTTTCTCTCGGTTCAATCTCTTGCCGACCGTCCCCCCTCCCCTCTCTCTCTCTCTCTCTCTCTCTCTCTCTCTTTTCCACGTGCACGCACACGAAAATCACCGGACGCATACCGACTCGCGCGCCTTTTTCTCCTCTCCTCGTGTTCTCGCGGCGTGTGCAGCTCTCGGTGATTTTCTCTCTCTCTCTCTCTACGTCTCATGTCTCTCCATCTCGCATGTTTCCTCGTTAAAAGAGCGAGTAGTCAGCCGTCTCTGTGACGGTGGTCGCTAGTGTCGCGGATTTTCCCCTCCGTCCTCCTTCCCCGCGCCCCGCTTCCTTTCCTCTTTCCCACTCTTCGCTCTTCCTCGTTCGGTCTCCATCCCTCTCCGCGCCGCGCTCTCTCGGATCGCCCGACACGCGTACCGATGCACAACGGGGCACCCACACACGTACAGCCGCGCGTGTCTGTGTATATCTCGTTCGGCGTGCGCGTCTATCTCGCTCCCGTCCCCCCTCCCGCGCCCTTCGTCCCGTCTCGACCGGAAGGTGCCAGTTTCTCGTCGACCATAGTCTGGTGCGGAACGCTCGTTTCTACGTTTCGTTCTTGGTTCTCCTCGTCACTTGTCTCGACTAACCCGTACGATCTCCGTACGATTCACGTGAGTGTGCATCTTTGTCATTTACGTGCGTGCGTGCGACCGTTTACAGATAATTGCGTGGAAAGAAAGAGAGAGAGAGAGAGAAAGAGAGAGAGATAATCGCGTTGTCTCGCGCGAGACACGCAGTGTGTTGATGCGGATATCAGTTCCCCCTCTATCCATCGGAATAGTGTTTTCCGCTCCGCCACTTTCGGTCGCTGGATTTCCCGTCGTCTGTCTATCTCGTTATCGGGATATGTCATCGCCGCGAGTGCGCGACGCAGTGTCCGCGGAATAGTTCTCTCATCGTCCCACGAGTGTGGGACCACGAGTGTTACCTTCCGAGGGAGGTTTCTTTTTTTTCTTTTTTCTTTTAATACCGGGTCTCGTCCCGATTTTTCCCGGTGTGCAACGAGCAGGAGAGCGCGCGCTTCTTGGATTAGCCGCTCCCCCTCGTGCCGCTTACGTCACGGCGCGCCAACCCGGCGAGAGAATGAGAGTGCCTTCGCCGTTGTTGACGAGTGCCTCGTGTGATTATCCCGGCAATAGTAGTGATAACTCAACGAGATCGCCCTCGGTCTACGTGACGACGACGACGACGACGACAGCAGCAGCAGGCGTCATTGCTGCTCGCTCCTCCTGAACGCACGGTGAGAGTCGAGTCCTTTTTCCTTTGCGAGAATTACTAGATGGCCGAAAGAATGAACTCGTGATGGTTTGTCGTTGCGAAACGTGTGAAATCGGCCAACGTATTTCGCGTCGCGAAATGTCGCGCCAGCTTAATCCTCGTTACTCGGAAAAGCTGGTTCACCAGCGACCTACAATTTAATAATTTGTCAGGTAGCTTGTCACGCGTGATTATTCAAGGTCGCGAGAAACATTGACTGCACATTCAGCGAAATAAAGAAAAGAAGTTCTGTAACTGTTGTGAGATTCTTTAATATGATTCGTTTTCGCTCGTTAATACCTTACCGGATCTAAATGTATACACCAGTCTATATTGAAGAATCGTGCAATAGTTGCAAAGATGTTTTTTTTGCTGTCATTGGCTGTGCTCGACAGAAAAAGCAACTCTGCAACTGTTGTGAGATTCTTTAATACGATTGATTTTACATCATCTTACAACAAGTTCATATACTTATACTTACTGTAACATGTAATTATTGATGAATATACACAATAATTTACGTACTGTTAATTTATGCTGTTTTCTACTTTCTACGTCATAATTCCCAGCCTTATTTTATTATTTATACATTTAAATCTATAAGGAACTAAGGCAGGAAAATAATCATATTAAAAATCTTACATTTGCGAAACTACTTTTTCAGTTGAATGCATTCATTGACGACGAGTTCCCTGATTATTCGTGAAAAACATCGGCTGCATTCGGTAGAAAAAGCAGTTCTGCAACTGTTGTGAGATTCTTTAATATGATTGATTTACATTTTTCAACAACATATGCAATATGTATTTATACTGTTGTTAATTATTGATGAATATATATAATTCACAATAATTCACGTACTGTTAATTCGTACTCTCTCTCCTTTTACTTTATGCTCAGAGCCTTATTTTGTTATTGAATTTATACTTTATTAGTTAATAGATATATCTAGATCCGTGAGGAACCAATTATATTAAAGAATCTCACATTTGTAAAGCAGCTTTGCTGAATGCAATCATTGATGAGTTTTCGCTGTCATCAAAAATATTGATTTATGCAACACGAGCGTTAATGATTATATCATGATGTTTGATGTTTAAGATGATACGAAAAATTGTGGAAGTTCTCCTAAGCGAGCGTATCTAGGTATACAATGAGATTTTAAGGCGTAAAATTTAAGCTTAAGTCTTAAGTAAGAAAATGACGAATTATAGTCAATTATTGCCCTCATTTCGACTGTGATTAATTTCTTACAGTTTAAGATTTAAATTTCAAAAATCTCGTAGACGCTGCTTTACGAAACTAGAGATTTTTAGAGATTTCGAAACATGTTACATTTATGCGACAGACCTCGTAATAGCTCGTTTACCATCGAATGATATTAAATATATTGGAGATAAATGCGAAAGTGTGTTCTTGCTCTAAATTGTGTCTCTTATAATACTGTTTAGATTGCTTATTTAGCTATCAGGAACTGATAGCCGTACAACAGTTGATTTCTCAGTAATCACAGAACGATGTAAGGTCACCGAGGAAATTCTACGTTAGCTCGATGCGATAATCGTTTACTTGTTTGAAAACATTAATCCAATTAAGCGTTGACTGTCCTGACGTTTATCGCATGAACGTTATTGTGTTGCACTCCTACTTAAACTTCACGATTAAGATGAGTCTGTCATCTACAAATATTAAATGTCATCTCTCAGTAGTGAACGGTTGTATAGGAAGCGTCGTCCAATACGTGTTGAACGTTGTCTCGAGATAATCGATCGGCTCGAAAAGTCAGGGTCGACCGCCGCGATTTGCGCTTTCAATTCCACCGTTGGTTAGATGAAATGCCGATCGATCGATTGATAGCCGACACGTGCAACGAGATGTACCTTGCACACCTAGCCGGCAACTTCTTATATTTCTCGCGGCTGGAAAACCGATTGATTAACACGCGTGAAAAGTCTACGACGACGACGTTGCTCGTGATTATTATCGCGGTCTCACTCTCTCTCCTTCTCGCCGCGTCTCGCTTCAGTATATTGCGCAAGTGTTTTTGCGATAATCCGCTATTTTACAAGCGCGTTTTGCAGAACAACGTCTTCTGGACAGTGTTGCATTACAGAAGGTACGCTCGATTTATCTGTGATCGATAATAATCTTAACTTTTATTATTCGCATTCGCGCACGATTGAATCATTCGTGTTTTCTGTGCATTTCTTTTCTTTAATAAAAATATTAGGAGCACCTCTAGGAGCACCTTAAATAATGCTCTATTCTTTTCTTTTTCTTTAATTTCACAAATACTTTCTAAAATGTTAAAATCTAAATTAATATCTAAATTAATTGGAATTCTAGTTGAAAATGAACGGGTCAGAACTTTTTGGATTAATCTACTAAATTCTAGCGAGATAACCGGAATTCTGATTGATAAAAATGAATAAATCAGAATCTTCTGATTTATTCATTTTTAACCAGACATTTTTTCAGTGCAAGAGGAATCACTTAATAATTTTTGTGTATTTGTAAAAGACAGAAATTAAAAATCGTGTGTCGAAAACATGAACGACCCATGTGTGGTAAAAAGGATCGAAGAATCATTGTGTTAGGGATTAACTTTGTAAGTAGGTAGAGTGGGCACAGAATCCCAGATATATCACCTATTTTTCTTTAAAACTTTGTTTCGCTTAGAAAGTCTTGATTATTTTTACATTCTTCCATCTTATAAGGATATAATTAAACACAATATACAATTAAGAAATGTAACTATAAAATTAAAAACTGTTTAGCTGTTCTTAGCGCCCGGAGTATCAACTTGCGTATCTTTAAATCATTTGTTTACTTAAAGGTTAAAAAAGAAACCTACTGTATTTTACAGTTTGTTCCATTTGATCAAAAATTTTCAAACATTTTCCTGGAATTTTTCAAGCTTGTTTTTTTTTAGCAAGGTTTTTTATATCAAGCGGGAAACCGTTCGATTTTACCGCCCAAAAATCCTGCCGTGTAAACGCACCGCCATTGTTTGATTCGACGCTTAATTTGCGCGACAAAAGCAAAAGTTCCCAAAATAGCGACGCCAGCGAAACAATGCGTCCGCGCCAATTGTATGATTCATCTTGCGGCGTTTAACATTGTCAAAGCTCCGCTTTTATGAATCACTTTCGTCGAATGTGTGCTCGCCATTCCGACAGGAAATCCGACATAGCGAAGAAAGCAATTTTCTTACTGCCGTTGTCGTCGAGTGGCGACGTTGCAGCGGCAAGTATTCGCTCGCATTTTATGTCCGTTGTTTGTGGATGGCGGATAAATCTCCGGTCGAACGTCGTGCTTTGGTTGTTTGATGTTTATCTAGGACTTAAAGACAGATTTTCATAGTGCTAGCCGTGAAATATGCAGCTGTGCGAGAAATATGAGTAAAACACTGTTGTATTGTATTATTTTTTTTTTTGTGAAAAAGGGACGAATAGGTGAAAAATCTATTAAGGAAAGGTATCGTAAATTCTCGAGTTTGTACAAAATTCCGCCTTGTGATTCTAAAATGACAGGCGTAACGATTTTTTCTTTTACAATTTTATAGCTAGGAAAACCATTCTTGAAAATAAATATTCTCGAAAATAAATTGTCTATGAATCAATCCGAAATAGAGTCACGTGTTAAACTTCAACAAGCATCGTGGGATTCTTCCCTTTAGCTTAGTCTGTTGTTATGTTCTGCCATTCAGCTCCATTTTTTAAAATAAACACTTACAGATTTATAAATATCAAGAAGCAATTCCAAATAATAAGTAAAGAGTGTACGATATAAAGAATAATTATAATTATATAATTTTATTAACACAGTTTAATTTCCATTTAATTACTAATATTTATTTACATAAAAAAATGATAATGTTCGTGTTTTATTTGATATTACTTCGATGATGATATTAAATTTTTCTCACGCTTTTGTTGATGGTTAAGTATTAGCTATAAGTAATCTATTAGCTACGAGTAATGGGTTAAAAAACTGCGTAGGCCGGATGCGCTGCTTTAAGAAGAAAACCGAGGACGTTGGGTGTTGCTTTGTGCTACCACGTTACAAGAAGCAGGAAAAACGTCACAGGTCGTTCCAAGCGACGTTTTACGGCCGATCCATCTCTGTCCATAAAATAAATCTCGTTATTTTACGAACCGGCCGCGTGTCCCGGATTTTTCCTCCCGAGACTTTATCGTTGTCCAAGGACGATGAATCTTCTCTGTTTCGGCCGCATTTTTCTCAAAGTACAGCAGGTGGGAGATATGTCCTTTGATGACGTCATAGAAGCATGAGGTCGAAGGCTCAACTATGGCGAAAGATAAGAATAAAACATGAATAATAGGTGTAAAACTGTTTTTGATCTACATTGACAAACTTTCACTGGCCCTCATTTTTCCCCAAACAAAATTTTACTGCGTAATTTTTCTTCGGACAAAATTTTGGACTGGAAGTTTAAGCTTCTCTTTACGGAAAGAACGATTTTGCTGGTGTTGAAAAATTTAGTAAGATACAGATTAGAAAATAATTTTATTTAGACTGTCAAAATAAGGACTCTTAAATTGGTTGCTAAAATGTTAAAACTTTTTGCAGCATTCTAATTAATATTTTAAGCATTAATATAATTACTTTGACGATCCAAACAAAATTATTTTTAGATCCGTATTTAGTTTATTATAAATATTTAAATACTTTTTAAAAAACTGTTCCTTCCGTGTTACATTTTTATTATTATTAAATAATTATTTCGTGCAGCTTAGCATCAAATTAAAATTTAATTATTTTTTATGAAATAAAGATTAAAATTAATATATTTATAATGTCATTATTAAGCATTATTAATTATTTTTAGTTATAATATTTGTATCGTATATTGATGCATTTTATTATGAACTACATTGTCATATTTATTTCTCAGTGATTTATAATTTTTGTGTCTTTTTGTGTTTCTATATATGATATTGGCGAAGAAAGAATGATTCA